TACCACATGTGTATAACTGAGATCAAAGTTTCTTTCCTGTACAAGTTAATCCAAAGCCCTTTCTTTCCTTCCCTCAACAAAGAACCGGGGTTATTCTGGAATCAGTGATGAGCAATAGGGTAGAAAGTAGTGACTCATGTGCACTCTCAGTAATCATGCTGGAGCACTTGACCTGTACAGCTAAACCAAGCCATACAATTCAACCTAACAATGTTTAAGTTCAAGCATAATTTTCCTGAACTCTTAATATGAAAAATGTCTATCAATTACAGAATGAGTCATCCCAAAGGAGAGAGAATTGCAGAAATATAAGTAATTAACTACAATGTACTTTGCAGAGGAAGATAGAGGTAGAAAAGCCTTTCATGGGAACTTTAAGGACAGTAGGGATGTAGTGAGCTAGCACTTGAATAGAGTCCACTAAGAATTAAATGTTTAGTCCTGGAAACAGTAATGTCCACAGCCAGCTGCAACCAAAAAATACAAGCCTGTGGAAGGCAGTGTACATGTACACTTGGATTAAAGCCCCTGTATGTGCTTCCACATGACCACAGGCAGAAAAGAGTCAGTTTTCTTCTGAGTTTTTATGTCTGAGAGTCCAAATCCATGATTCACTTTCCATCTTTGGCAACAATTTACCTGTGACCTTTCTTCCTCTCTGTGAAATCTGAAAAATCAGAGCAATGAAACTTCCTTAATACATTGCATTGCTGTGATTAAACAAATGAAGACTGTAAAGTAGCTACATAAAACAGTAAATATTAAAATGCATTTTAAATGCAGCTGAGACTAAACTACTAATCACAAAATGGCTGAATTGTAGGGCATTCTACATTTCCCTTCTGATGACATAGTAGTCATCAAAACTGGATTGCTACATGATATAATTAGAGAATAGCTTTAATAACATATGTAGTCTATTTTTGCAAATTAAGTCTTGTCTCAAAATACAGCTACAGAGAATTTCAGATAGAACTCTTATTTTTATTTATTTCTGATCCCGCAGAACTTTTATTGACCTTTTCCCTATGCTGTTTCACTGTAACTATAGAAGCCCAGTTGTCTGGGCTTCTGGCACACTTCTGTTTACTTCAGTACCAACTAAAAGCAGCAGCTAACTAATCTACGCCACGGGATGCACTACGCTGTGTGTGACTGCATCTTGCACAGCTTTGCAGTGCCAGGACATTCAGCACATCCCAGCTCACTCACCTTTCCACAGGGCTGCAATCCCTTGTGTGGTTGCTGGAATTTACAGAGCTTGCAAACTGTTCCTCATGGATCTCCACCTTTGTGCTGCTCTGGCCTTTCCCTCTGTGCCCCAATGGCACGTGAGAAGGAGGTGAAGGAAATTGGGCCCTGTAATGTTGTCTTAGACTGCCTGCTGGAAGACTTCATCCCACCAGGACAGTGTAGACCACACAGGGTAGATTTAAGGAAATTACACAACATTCCTGGTCATGCTAATGTTTACAGTACTTATTTTTATTTTTTTTTTCCAACCTCCCTAATATTGCACCAATCTGCTGTGCAGCTCTGGTCATAAACCAGTTATAGCAGCCTCAATATCTTCCCTCTGGCCAACCAATTGTGCAAACCCTGAGAGATTTGCCATAAAAATGCTAGATTTGTTTGGTTTGGTTCAGTTCAGTTCAGTTCATTTTCTCTTTTGTGCAGAAATGAAAATATGAAGAAAAAGACACAGAGCTTGGTGAGAAACCTGAGCAAATTTTTAACAAAATTAAGCTTCATTAGAGTAACAAAAAAACCCAAACCAAAAGCTTTACAGGGTACTTATTCTGGTGGGAAATTACTAGAGTGTATAAAAAATTCATCTACAAAGTCACTTTGCATGGCTTTTTGTATATCAAAACGCTTTTTTTTTTTTTCTTGGGATTTTTTTTAGTGGCTTGTTTATTTGTTTTTTCTTTAGACTACTAGTAAGAAAGTTTTCTGTGGTCATTACTTAATTTCCAATATACTGGTGACCCATGCAGATTCTTAGCCATTTATGAATGCATAATACTGAACATTTTAAAAAGTTCATTAATCTTCACTCCCAGGTAATTAATGTCAAAGAGACAGAATACTTTTATATGTCTGTAATTAATGTAATTATAAATAGGGGAAATAAGGGGGGGGAAAAAAAGCAGCAAGGAAAGCAAATTAATTCTGCAGAGGTCTAGTTAACCTTTTATTGCTTGTTCAGGAGTATGCGAAGCCTCCTTCAAGAGGTCATGAACACAAAAAATGATGAAAGGGTAGCAGGGCTTGACACACTTCTGAGGAAGATGATGCTGTCCAAAACAGTTTGCTAAGTAGAGAGGCAAGATAAATGCTTCTTCAGCTTTGAAGGAATGTAGAAAGCAGAGAGACAGGCAATCCTTTGCTACATTCCAAATCCAGCTTCTGTCAGCAGTGAATCTGATTTTAGAACTGGTGAACATACTATATCAGACTGTCCTTGCTGTCTTCCTGGAGATGGCCCAGCAAATTATAAAGGGTGGCTCTAGCACAAAAAGCAAAGGGTTTCAGGGGTTATTCTACAAAAGCACAGAGGTAAACACAGCCCTGACATGCCTTTCCCTTAGCTAATATTGTATGGAGGAGATATCTGAGTAACAAAAGGCAAGGGTATAAAATGCACACACAACAGGTGATTGCTTTTAAAGAACATCCTGTTGCTGCAGCTAGATGGTCTTTTAGGACTGGTCTAGTCTAGTTCTGGATGGAGAAAAGATTTAACTAGATCCCTTGTCTAAACACAAATTCTGCACCCTCTTAAGGCTGTAATGATCTGGTGAGGAAATCTTTATGTAGCATCAATCATCAATTGACTTTTAAACTGGAGTGCTTGGCTGAAGAAAGGTGCTGATTATAAATAGAAATAGAGTTGACTGCAGCGTCCTGAATGTCTTTCCTAAAAATAATTGTCCTGGAAGATGTAGTTCCTGAACCTATTGTGTCATACCCTTGTCTAGTCATCATTCATCACACAAGAAGAGATCAGAAGGACACTGCAGGGAGCAAAGATACATGTGTGCTTTGAGAATTGCATGTATTAACTGAGAGAAGGGTATGTTTGCAGTGGCTTGGTCATCCAGAGTTTGTACACACTGACACTGTGACTTTGCCTCTTTCACTCTTTGCCAAACTGTTTGCACCTCAAGCTCTTTTGTTGAAAAAGTGTCTTTTGGGAATTTCTCTAAATAATCTGTGAAAAGACAAAGTCCCCTTTTCCTCAGTGACACCTATCAGGTAAGGTACTGCAAAATAACTTAGAAGCAGTGAAAGCTTTAGTATTTGGCACATTTAAATGAATCTATAAACCACAGCAGTAGATCTAAAATAATGAACAATGTTACTGTGACACAAAAATGAATTAGAAAGTATAATAGGAATTTTTATTTATTTTTTTTTTGCTAAAGTTTATGATTTTCTGCTCAGAACACTAGTCACCACCGATTTTAAGTGCAACTTAAAAAAAAATTTTCATCAATCCAATTGACAGAGGTAGATTTTTCTCATGGGAAAATTCCACTCTGCAGTATTGCCAAGACAAAGAGCTCAAAAGTAATAAAAGGGGTTTAAAAATCCTAAGTCCTTTAAAAAATAGCTTGCTACATTGAAATTTCACTCCCTAAAACTTTTGTGTCGCATTCAGGTCATGATTTGAGGTTAGTTTTAAAGGCTGATCATTTCATTCAGCCCTGGAATTTCACTAGACATATCTGAAGTTTTCCCTCTGTGAGACTAAGATAAATGTCCTAGCTGTAGAGAAAGAAAAATGTATTCAGATACATGCTTGTATCAAAAGCTCTATACAATTCATTCCTAAGGAACCTGGACTGGAAATATCAAAGCACCCTGGTGGCACTGCCACATTCCACTGTCGTGAGCACACACAGAGAACAGAAAAAAAGTACAGCTTAGGTCATATGACTTGCATTCTGATTAATAATTATTAATTATACTTTCATTATAATTATTTTGCAATAAAAATTGTTATATTGATCAATAACTTTAGCATTTTATGAATTTTAATGGCAAAATCAATTAAATACTGACTGCAAATGAAAATTCATCAAGTATCTAAACCCATCTAAATTAATCAGCAAAGAGTATAACACAGAATAAAAAGCAAAGGGAAAGATAGGAACTAATTCTGAGATAAGCAGTCCACCAGAATAACTTTCCCTCTATAAATGATGCTATTGTTCCACGCCACATTTTGTAGAAAAAGCTCAATCATTTTGCTAAAGCAGATTTATTGTTGACATTGATTTATTTGTTGACATTGGTCAACTTTCTCCGAGATAGACTGGTTATAAGGAGACTGATTGCATTCTTTCTAAAGGTAGTAGAAACATTTCCCTTCCCTAAAGAAGTATTCAAGCCAATTCCAGAAGTCAAAATTGGCCTAGAGTATTTGGTGAGATCAGCAATGATCCTGAAAATTGGAAAAGAAACCCCTTAAAAATGGTCTGAAATGCAACAGGGTCAATTCCAAAGTGCTCCACCTAGGCTGAAATCCGGATGGGCAACTAGTGGGTAAGGGGCAGCTCTGCAAAGGACATACTACAGTATGGGTAGTAGCAGTCAATAACAACTCTGTTATACAACTTAATCAATTGTTAAGTCATCACAAGCTGAACAGATCTGACCCTGTTTTAAATTATCAATAAAGGTGCCCCCACTGCTGTACACAAGTCAGCCTTCCTGATTTCTGTTTTACATGAACACCTATTTCAGCTGCTATCCAAATTGTATAATGTCCTTACAGCATATGTTCAGTGCCCTGCAGCCTACCCCACACATTCCACATTTGTCTAGTGAAACTTCTGAAGGGCAGACACCTGGGTGTCACTGCAGAACATTCACTGGGGTCTCCTCCTCTGCATGCATAAGGCTGTATCACAGATCTTATTTAGAGAATGAAAACATGTCATTTTATTCTCCTGCTTCAAGGAAAATTTTCTTTGAGAATTACAGTCAATGAAAAGAGGAGAGGCTAGCAATCAAGGGAGGTGATTCTCCCCCCTCCATTCTCAAGAGACCCCACCTGAAGTACTGTGGGTCCGTTAGAGCAGGTTCAGAGGAGGACCAGGAAGATGGTCAGAGGGTGGGAATGCCTCTCCTACAAAGACAGGCTGAGAGAGCTGGGGTTGTTCAGCTTGGAGACTGCAAGGAGTCCTCACTGCAGGTACCTTGAGATGTCAGAAAAAAAAGGAGAAGAGGGACTTTTTAGACAGGCAGATAGTGACAATACAAGGGGCAATAGTTTTAAACTGAAATAGCTAGGTTTAGTTTAGCTATTAGGAAGAAATTCTTTAATGAGAGGGTGGCAAAGAACTAGAACAGGTTGCTCAAAGAAGCTGGGGAAATTTCCTTCCTGGAATTTTTCAAGGCCAGGTTGGACAGGACCCTGATCAAGCTGGTCTTGTGAATGGATCCTTGCCCATGGCAGGAGAGTGAACTAGATGGTCTTTAAGGTCCCTTCCTACCCATGCCATTCTATGACTATATGATCATAAGAAAAATACTGCAGAATAAATTTCAGCTGGTTCTTTGCCTTGGAGTCTCTGTGCCCAATTCTTTGTTGTCAAAAACATATTTTCCTACTTCAGAAGAATTTTTTTCTTTGTTGTTTCCATGTGAAATATAAAACTGATGACTAAAATTGACTTCAGGCCCATTCCTGAAAACACTACAATGAAAGCTAGATATTTATAAATGCATAAACAAGTTAAAACCCCCAAATGTTATTTTTGCAGTCTCAGATGCAAGAATATATAATATAATTCATCTTTCTCTGTGTAAAGGACTTCAGAGTTCAGATTTTGGAGCCTTTATGGTAGACAAGTGTTCTTTCCAAAGAAGTCCTTTATTCTTTTCTCTTATCATCTTGCATAAGAGCTGCAGCTATACAGTTATCTGAATTATTTTTTTTCCAAGCATAGGAATAGCAGAAAGTCTTAATATGCATCCTCCAGATAAGTGCTCTTCGCTCTTCTTTTCAGCTCCTCCTTCTACTGCTGAGCAAGAGCTATGAATTGTTTTACCTTATCTCCTCATTTCCTGTGGTTCACATTATCAAGCCTTTGCATGTTCCAGCTGAACACTTGCAGTTATTTCTGTGGTATCTTGTGAAGGAAAAATATACTTCATTATGTATTAGTTACTTACAAAACAAGGCCTTTGTATTATATAAAAACAACCAGCACTGCTTTTCTCAGTAATCATTCTTGTTTGGGCTTTTAATTATTCTCTTCCAAATTTCCCTTAATATTTTCAGATATTTCTAATTAAGGAGGTGACTTTTTTTTTCCCAGCTGTGCATAAATGATGTCATGGCCAAATAAAGAATAGTAAGGAAATGTTTGCTTCAGGTGATAATGCAGGGAGAATAAAAAACATATTGTCTTCAGTAGGACTGTGCAAATAATTAATTTTTCTATTTAATGGTCCAACTGAAGAGGAATGAAAAAGGCACTCAGAATATTTAAGACTTCCTATTTTTCACTTGACATAAAATGAAATATTTCATTAATTACTGATAATACTGAATCATTTAGCTTTACAAAACAGTGAGAAAATACTACCAGGCAACACAGCTTGTTCACATGGTGCCAAAGCCTGGGAAAATATTAATGCCTAGAAAGATTGCTGCCTGAATAACGCCATTTGCCTGTTTTGAGGTAAACAATTATTCTTTGGAGACAATCCCTCCCAGATGAAGCAGGCAGCCCTCATGGCATGTACTGCAGGACAACCAGAGATCACAGCAATAGCTGGAAGTTGCAGCCAACTCAGGAGGAGTCAGGGACCTTGGATGAGAGATCTTGGGAGAATCAGCAAAGCCAAGTGCAGCAGCAAGGAGTGGTAACAAAGGCAGGCAGATGGAGAACATAGCAGCTGTTTGGGAGAACACAGAGAAAGCCAGCTGAATAAGAACTAGGTGAGGAGTTCTGAAAGCACAAATGTACAAATTATTACTCATTCTACATCTGAGAAATCAGACAAGTATTCTGTGGCAAAAGCTAGGACAGAGCCATCTTCCTATAGCAAATGTCATGGATGAGCAGCATGCAGTGTGGTGGGGTAAATAGTGAGTCTTTGATGGTGTAAAGCAGAGACCCCCAATCTCCATAGGCTACAGGACAGAATTGTAGAGGAATAAACACACTGCAGACAGCAACATCAGCTACTTTCTCTGGTGCTATAAAGAAGACACGTTTTCTTCTGGCTGTACACTGTACTTAGGGTGTCAGCAGAGTGTGTCTTCTCAATGACAGGAATGCCAGTGTCATTGTTTCTCTTCTAATGTCTTGCTCTCACTCAGACTTTGAGGGCACTGCTCTAGCAGACCTCCTCCAGAAAAGGCAGACTCCACAAAGTCTCCTGGTACACTGCAGCAGGCAAAATGGACATGCCAGTGCAGTGACTGTGGTGCTCTTGATCCACATGCAATTGATGTCAGTGTCTAAAGAAGATCAAAGCTACAGCTCTATCTCATGTTCCTCCTCTCAGTCTTTTATCTCTTTACGTTCACTTGGCAGAGGCAGCTTCAGTAGTTAATTTTAGAGTATCAATGGTTTATTTTGAAAAGGATGTTAAACCTGCCCTTTTGCATGCTGCTGGCTGGATTAGTGATAAACAGGGTCAGAAAAAACACAGGAATGCACCCTGGGACTTTTCAGAGAGCAGTGTGGAGTTGAGAGTGTTGTGGTTGCTAGGGAAAAGATGTTCAAAAAGCCCTTGTTCCAGGTAGAACAATGGGTTCTTTAAGCCCACCAATTATACCTATTATCTCCAGCTTCCACAAAATGTGTGTTTATCCAGAGGAAATTTAATTTCTTCTTATCTGTCAGCATAAATAGCTGCAAATGTGTACAACAGGATTTGGAAATGTCCAACAGCTTCTCTGTGTCCTGCACAGTGACCTCTGACCTGGTAGGCATGGGGTAGGAGGAAGACACACGGTGTTGCTGGAGCTCTGCTTGTGCTGAGTAAATTTTTGTATTTCTTAGTACGTTTGAATGGATGGATTTCGTGAAATACTAAAAACAAAGATATGGAAGTTGCTTGTACCCCCAATACCCACTGATCCTTTATTTCTGACTCCAGGAGGTCCAGAGCACTACAGACCAAATTAATCAGGAAGCTAGGGAGGGGTGTGTATTTAAATTAACTAATTAATGGGTTTCCTACCCATGTTAATCTTTTAATTCACCCTAAAAGGGAAACTTCTAATAATTACTATATTTTTCTGTGCATATACAGTACCACAATCACATGATAACCACAAAGTTTGACTATCTGAAAATATAAATTTTGTTTAAAAAGCGAATCAATTACTAGGGGAGAAGTACAAAAATAACACATGTAACTTTTAATTAAAATGTATCACTTACCTCATGGGGAAAGAAACAGCTACCACTGACTTCAACATGTGAACAAATTTTCCCAGCCTTTCTTTTTTTCCCCAGGTTTTAGTAGGAAAAATAAATGCTGGAATTATCACTGCTGAGATGGATGTGATTTTCATCAATATAGAGCTGTGGTTGTCCCTATATTGCTATGGCTTTGTTTTGAATTGATGAAAAGACAAAGCTTTTGGATCACTGCATCTGCTTGCTTCATAAAGCCACCTGGCTTTTCCAAAGCAAGTCAGATGTCTGCTTGTTGGGTCACAGGTGGACAGGAGGGCAGAAAAATTTTCTGAGGAAGGTACTGGATTCATCTGACCACATTAAAGCAATTATATGGGAACTAGTGATGACCATTTTCTCCTAGTCAAGGGAAAAAACTGTGCTGCTGAACTCTTCCTGGAGTTACCTAAAATAGTAGCTTAATCAGGCATTAAAATTGCCTGTTCCTCTTCATCACTTGGAAGGGGAATAAATATTGGAGCAATTAGTTCAGGAGACACCTGTCTAGTGCCAAAGCACAAGAATTTCCATGATCCTTGATACTTACACCTAACCATGAGAAATCTTATTTTCTCTTTTCGAGAACAAAACTTAGCCCTGTGTTAAAAAGTTCAGACCAATATTTTGACATAGCTGGTCTGTACAGAGGTGTTTGCTATTGGCAGGTAAAGGGATCAGATAAAGTCATTGAGGAATGTGACAGAAAGACTGAGGGGATTTCCTTTAAAAAGAAAAGGTGAAAACTCAGGACTCCAGTTCTGCTGAAGAAAATACTTGGTTTTAAGATCCTCTCAAATTAGAATAAAAGTGCAGTACAACTTTATTGTTTCTTTTAGCAGTCTGAAGCTTGGTGTAAGCAGAGACAATTTTTTCATTATTCAGGAGTGACTGCTGCAATGGAAAGAAAATGCTGAAACTCTCATCCCTTCTAGTGGTCTCCCTCAGTGCCAGCCTAGTACCCAAGAAGATCTAGAGTTCTATACAGAACAGGCAAATAATAGGTAGTGGTAAACACTAGTTTTCACATAAGACAATAGAAAGTAAAGACCCCTGTTTCCTTGTGTACCAAATTAATAGTTTCCAATCATGACTTTGAACTTAGGTAGTTGTCATTATCTGCTGATGAAATCATTCAGGTCAGAGTCCCAGTTTTTTTTTGCTCTCAAACAAAAATTTGTTCCCTGAACTCAAGCAAATTTATTGGAAAACCCATGGAAGATATAATGTGAATATCCCCAGGATTTGCCAAAATCTAAACCATTCCATCTTTTCAACCTAAGAGAAAGGGAAACCACACAGAACACATACGGATTAACCACAGCAAGGAGCTGTGTGGTGTCAGACTGAAGTTCTGTCTAGTGCAGTTCCAAGGACTTTGTGAAGAGCAGAATGAAAGAACAATATATTTTTTATATATTTAGGAAAAGCACAGGTATTTTTCAAGAATAAGCTCACTGTCTGTAGTTATTTGTAGCTGAATCAGAACTAGTCACAATGGACTCTCACAGCTAAAGTTTTTCAATTGATCTTTGAATCCACCTTGAGTTTAGAACCCACTGCTCTGAGGCCAGGAAGTCATGGAATCATAGAAAAATTTGGTTTAGAGCAAACCTTCCAACGCCATCTAGTACAACCCCTCTGCAATGAACAAGGACATCTTTCACTAGATCAGGTTGCTCAGAGCCCTGTCCAGTCTGACCTTGATGTTTCCAGGGATGGGGAATCTACCACCTTTCTGGGAAACTAATCTAAATCAACCTCTTTTAGTTTAAAATCATTGGCCCTTATCCGATACCAAGTTCTTCAGCACTTTAAGAATTATCATCAAATAAAAATATGAGAGATTTGTCTTTTTTGCTGGTTTTGATCTTAAGTGTTCTCCCTCAATATACCCCTGAAAGCTGAGTTAGGAAGACACTATCTAGAAGGAAGAAGGACCTTTATTCTACCACGAATAAACTTTCTGCTAACAGCAAATTCCCCCAAAATTAACTTCTTGGTTTGTTTCCTTTCAGGTATTTTTAAGCAACCCTGCCACCTTGTTTAAGTATCAAGAAGTAATTTATCTTTTCAATATCCCTCAATCTAAACAAAAGTGTGTCTTTTTTCAGATACTTGCCATTGTGATCACAAGGCCAATTATTTCATTTGATATTTGCAGTTTAAGGAACAGCACACACATCCCAGTTGTGTGCAGCTTTGAGAACTTGACACAATAAATGCATTTTACATCTTTTGCTCCTTAGGTTTAATTACCTTTCATCTGCTGACATAATTCCATTCCTCAAATCCATGGAAGTTTGTCTCTTGCATTAGAAACATCAATACAAGCTCTGTCAGAGCCCCACAGTCTTCACTTTACAAACTACAGTTTGAAGTATTTCTTCAGAATCCAATTCTACCTACGCAGAACTGTGTGAATAAATCATTTACTTTTGCAAGATTCAGCACCCTTAATTACACCACACACACAAAATTAATTCAACCCACAGGATATTTTTCCCTACTATGTGTGTTGCATGTGTGCTCCTTTGGTTGCATTTTGGAAGTTTCAAAGCCCTCATGTTGATTTCATTGAAATCAATGACAAAAATCTTCTTTATCAAGAGAATCATAATTATGCCTTCTATTTTTATTATGTTCATATACAATTAATTCATTGAATCTTATGGAAATGACACTTAAATTCTAATTATGAGCCAAAAGTTTTGTTAGTGGTCTTACTTTGACCACAAAAAGAAAAAGGTTTAAATTGCAAAATCCCCACATACCCACTTTATCAATCTCTAAATCTCTTCAGTCTTTACCTGTTCCATATTCCTTGCTTACCCACTGACATTTTCAATAATTTCCTTTCTCTCAGGTACACATTACACTGATTGTCATATGGTCATTCAATTAGAAAGAGGAAAACCTCTACGTATCCTTGACCAGAATGATTCTGATTTCAATTGCTGTGGCTGCCACAAACCATTCAGAGCAAACTGCACAGCAGGGAGAGGGGAGGAAATGACAGAAAAATATTATCAAGTAATAAAAAGTAACTTTATGAGTCATACGTTACTTGCTGAAAGGAACATAAAGAACAAAATTGTGGTTTTACCATTGACTGAATGAGAATATGACCAAAAGTATTAAATTTTTTGCTCTGACTTATAGGATTGAATCTAGTTATGAGAAGCTTCTAACAAGAAATGGAACTTGTATGATTTTTAGAAAAGTCAAAATTAATTTTCTTCTGAACTTCTTGTACTTAGGCAGTAAATTAACACAGTCCTAAAACTGCAAAACTGAGGCTTCTGTAAAATGTGACTCTACACAATTGACATCACTTGCCTAAATTGATCAGATTCATATGCTGGTGCTTTGAGATGTGAGAGGTCTCTGCACATTAATCATGAGAACCATCAGACAGAGATAGCATGTTTAATTCCCATGACCCAGGTGTCCTGCAGGTGTGTCTATCTGTATATAAGAGA